GTTGTAAGTCCTACCCTGGTTCCCTTTTAACAACTTACGATCTGATGTGAGTTGCATAAAGCAGTAGAAAATCATACATGTAGTATAATCGCAACCATGTGGGAAAATACTAGGAGGATGTGGTTAAGACGTTAATACGAGTTTCTGCTGAGTGATAGGAATAACAGCGATTTTGTTTTGCATCTTTACGCTTGCCTACCTGGAATTTTCTGTGAAGGGCCCGTGTTTTACAACGAAAAATAAAACGAAGCTTAAAAAATTTTAACTTAAAAGACATACGGGAAGAGAAAGGATAGGAGATGACATCAAATATTTGGTCACAAAGTTCGGTGCGTTTACAGTAATGTGGCAAATAAGTCTAGAGACCACACATATGTAAAGGAATCTATTTCTTTTTTTCTTTTTTCTTTTCTTTTATTTTATTTTATTTATTAGAGGGGGAGAGAGCACATGAGCAGGGGGAGGGACAGAGGGTGAGGGAGAAGCAGGCTCCCCGGCCCAGGGATCATGACCTGAGCCGAAGGCAGATACTTACCAGACGGAGCCATCCAGGTGCCCCAAAGGAATCTGTTTCCCCATCTCTGGGGTTGACTCCAGGTCCCCAATCGTGGGGGGCCTGGAGCTTCCGCAGCCTGGCTGGGCCCCCCGACACTTCTCCTTCTGGCCACATGTGCTCGTCCTGGTCCTGTCCCTCATTCACTGAAGGGCACCTGGTTCAGTCCTGCCCTCGACTCCCTAACCGGAGACCTTTCTCTCCATTCCATGCCCGTCCCACCTCTGTACTTAATCTCTTCCGAAGTTCTAGATTCAAGCCCCCTGCTTTACTTACAACTTTCTGTCTCTCCCGCTCTCATCTCTGCTGTTCTTGGACCCATAAGACACTCTAATGCCTTCACCGTCCATTATCCCTGTCCAGCTCAGAGCCCATGCTTGGTCATTTCAGCCACTGTCTTGCCAGGGGTCTCCGTGCTCTGTCCTCGACTTCCTCCCACACACCTCGAACCATGGCCACTTCTGCTGCCTCTTTATACCCGGCATGCACAGCGCAGCCCAGGGAACCCCCCCACCCCGTCCCTGCTCAGAAATCCTTTGCCCTAGCCCGCCACCTTTCCATTCCCCATGGTGACTTTTCCCAACCTTCCTCCTCCAGGAGGAAACCTTCTCCTCACCTTCCAGAAGCCAGATCACCAGATGAGGGCTCCCCAGAAACAGCCACACCCAGACACTGAGCCTGTGGGCTTCCCTCCTCCCTCCTGTTGGTCCATTTGAAGCTGGTCCCTGAGGGGGGGTGGGGGGGGGGCCCAGGGCTCTGCCTCCCACCCCTGCTGCCTTCTTGGGGCCCAAGGGTTCACCGAGACCCTTACTGCTACTTCAACTTGCTCCTTCTCAACCACATCTCCTTGTCTTTAAAAGACGTCCTCTGGGGGCACCTGGGTGGCTCAATGGGTTGAGCCTCTGCCTTCGGCTCAGGTCATGATCCCAGAGTCGAGGGATCAAGCTCTCCGCTCAGCGGGGAGCCTGCTTCCCCCTCTCTCTCTGCCTGCCTCTCTCTCTACTTGTGATCTCTGCCTGTCAAATAAATAAATAAAATCTTAAAAAAAAAAAAAAAGTCCTCTGGACCCCCGCCACCCCCCACTGCCCTCCACCTCCCTGTGCCCACCGACAGCTGCGCTTCCTGAAGGAACGACCTGCCTCCCTATCCGGTGGCCTCCTTGAATCTCTGTTGGTACCTGCTGCCGCCAGGCGACCCCCAGCCCCTGGGCTGCCAATACAGAAGCTATTTCTGAGTCCTTCCCTTGCCACCCCCTTCTTGAAATAGTCCTCGCGTGGCTTCTGTGATCTCACATCTGCTTACGCTTCTATTGCTGGCTTTTCACGAAGCCTCAAATCACTGTCTTTCTCTTCTCCGATCCGTTCAGACCCACACTGCTGGTCAGGGAAGCTGAGAGGTCCTGCACGAAACGGCCAAAGGCAACCCCTTCCCCCCCTTGCGACATTGCCTTTTAACGGTGTCTTCACACTGCTCCACTGGCCGGCCAGCTGGAAATGCCGTCTAGCGGCAGCCAGCTCTTTGAGCAGGACCGCCCTGCCACCTCCCCTGGCTGATTAATTGTCTTTGAGATTATAGATTTGTCACGGTCAATGCCAACCCCACGCTGGCTCCCTCCTGCCCCTTGGCTGGGCTTGGGCCTTTTTGCCATCTAGCTTTCCAGACAACGAGAGTCATTTTGGGGTTTTGTTGTTGTAGTCGTTTTGTTGTTGTTTGTTGTTTTTTTGTTTTTTTAAGATTTACTTATATACTTGAGAGAGAGAGAGCACGCATGTACGTGAGCAGGGAGGGGGCAGAAGGAGAGAGACATGGGGACGTGTGTGACACAGGGATGTGAGGGCCTCCCTCCCAGGGCTGTCGGGATCAGGGGAGCTACCTTGCAGAGAGCGCGGGCTGTAAGACGCGTGACAGTTGGTAGCTGTCACCCTAAAGCACCCTGTCCACGGTGGGCATTTCTCACCGTGCAGAGATTCACTTAGCGCGAATGAAGGCGAGAAGATCTGCAGCCTGGGGTACGAACAGCACCTCCCCCGAAGGCCTGCCTGTAGCTTCTCCTGCTCCCAACGGTTGGCCCCATTTCCAGGCTCTTCCCCGGGGCCAGACAGTGGGTTGTCATCCTCGTCTCCTCCTTCTGCCCCGCATCGGCCCCCATGTAGTCATGGAGCTGGGTGATTCTGTCTTCACTCTGGTCCGCCTTCCCTGACCCCCACGGCCCTGAGCTTAGTCCCCGCCACCTCCATCCCTCTCCAGACCGTCCCCACTTTTCTCCCCTCCCGTCCCTTCTTTTGACATTGTAGGCAACTCACCGCTTTATAATGCAGTTCTGACTGTGCTGTTCTCCCTAGAAAACCCGTAACCCTGGAGCAGTTCAAAGGGTGAATTTTACAGCCCAGCAAACAAACCAAAGCCAGGTTCGGAGAGCCGCAGCAGACCTGGTCTGGCCTCCACACCCCTCATCGCCCACCCTCCCTGGCCTCTGTCTCTTACCCTAAACTCTGCCCTATGCGTGCTGTTTATTCTTTGTGGGAAGCCTTCTGTCCTCTCCTGCTCCTCCCTCGACTTTAGCTCTCAGCTGCCGGTGATGCCTCTCCCAGATGCCCTCACTGATCTCCCCAGACGTGCCTCATCTTAGCCTTTTTGTAGCATTTATCACCTCTTTGAGTAAATGCCCTGGGCTGAGCACCAAGGGAGGGAGGTGTGGGGCTGTCTGCCCCCGGGAGCTTCGAGTCTATGAAGGGAGGAAAGGGACACTAGACTGAATTACACTAAATACTTCCATTGCATTGAGAGAGAGAGAAGGAATGTTTGACATGGCTGGAGGGGTCTGGAGGAGGTGACGCTGAGCAGAGCCTCTAGGGGACAGAAGCTGGGGCAAGCCAGGAGTGGGGGGGGTGGAGTGTTCGGAACAGTGGGGGCCAGCGGGGGAGACAAGGTCTTGCCAGAAGGGAGCCTGGGGGGTTTCAGAAGATCTCGCGTCCAGCCCAGATTTACTACAACGTAACTCTGACCCCTTCCCTCTGAGCAGCGAGGCCTAGTCCCCCTGGATGGGAGGCTTGCTTCCTCCTGCTTGTCCAGAGCTTGTGCTCTAGCATCCCACCCCCGGGGAGGAAGGTCACGCTGCCTCATGGGGGGGCCACACAGAGGGATGCCCACGGCCAACAGCACCTGGGGGCCGTGCCCCTGAGCCACTTTGCAGGTGAATCCTGCAGCTCCACGTGCCACTGGCCTGGTTCCCCAGACCCTGCCCACATCCCAGGTCCATTAGGAAAATAAAGATCCGGGCCCTTTGAAGGCCCCCAAGTCTTGGGCTGGCTTTGAGCAGCAGCCACCGGCAGCTGGACCAGGCTGGCGTCCTGTGTGTGTCCAGCAGCGGGTGGCAGGTGGCGCTCGCTTGGTGGCTAAGTGGACGGCCCTCATCAGGCCTTGGCTGGGAGCCCACCGCGGCTACTCACCGCGTATTTGTGTGACCTTTGGCAAGTCCGTTCATCGCTCTCTGCTCCCGTGTCCTTCGCTGCGCAGTGTGCACAAAACAGTGTTTCCGTTTGTTGTGATGGCGGGTGATGGAGTAAGTGACGAACGCAGGCGAACGCAGGTCTCCAAGCAATACAGACCGGCCGTGGCAGCGTCGGGACAAGCCTCAGGGCGGCTGACCGTGACTCTGTGGAGTGGCTCTGTTTCTGGTTTTAGAGCAGGTGCATGCGTGTGCGTGCACGTCTCTGTGCTTGTCTCTGCGCGCGCGTGCGCGTTTGCCTGTGTGCGCGCGTCTGTGCGCACGCGCACGCACCTGCCGCATCCGCTTTCAGTCCCATGTGCCGCGGCGCTGTCTCTGTGTTCACCGTTTATCCCACGAGACGGCCGAGCCCAGGGCCCGACCCGACCCTCCTGCATCCGCAGGACCCGAAGCAGGCCCGCACGCGACGCGCGTGACAACTGTGTGGTTAATGAGTGCGCGCGCAGCGCTTGCACGAGACGTGCGAAGACAACCCCGGTTCTGACCGGCTCCCGACCCGCTGTCTGTAGGGTCCCTCCGCAGCTGCGGCCCCTGCCTTTGTCGTGCGCGTCAACAGAAAACACGCTGTCCCTCCGCCCTCGCCCCCAAGGGTCCTGTACTACCTGCGTCCTCTCAGATGTGCTCGGGGGTCGGCCAAGGACTGCTGGGAAAATACTGAAGCTTCACCAGGCCACTGCTTAATTGCGGGCAGCGGTAGGATAGACAGCTCAATGAGACAGAACGTGTGCTTGCTTTAGAATGAGTCTTTTTTTTTTTTTTAAGATTTTATTTATTTGACAGAGATTACAAGGAGGCAGGCAGAGAGAGGGGGAAGCAGGCTCCCCGCTGAGCAGAGAGCCGGATGTGGGGCTCGATCCTAGGACCCTGAGAACATGATCTGAGCCGAAGGCAGACACTTAACCCACTGAGTCACCCAGGTGCCCCTAGGATGAGTCTTATTTTACTTGTCACTTCGTCCTTCCGTTCATCACTGTTTGTTACAGGCCGGTGTGCTTTGCATCAGTCCTCATACTCAGCAGAAGGAGACGCTGAGGCAGTTGAGTTAGTGCGAGACCTGGGGCATCCACTTGTGACTTGCCCTGAGGGTGGAAACCTTTTCCAGACCCAGACCTACTCCGTGGCCCGGTACTGTCTTCATTCAGCTTTCACGCGTGTGGGTTTTATCCTGTGACAGCAGGCCGCCCATGCAAGGACATGAGGGTCTTGACTCTCCTCAGCGATCCGTGCTCACAGGGACGGCCGCTCGTAGGAAATCTCAGCCAGCTGAGTCCCTTGATGTCACTGTGGTTGACTGAGGACAGGCCTGTCACTCCGCCTGTCACCGCACCCGGCTGCAGAACGAAGGAGGTCACCACAAGAGGACTTGGAGCCCATGCTCGTGTGCTGTCGACTTTCTAGATTTCTGACGAGGCGTTTATTTACATTCTCCTCCTGCAAAGAGCGGGCCTTGGATGTGTAGGGAACAGGGGAATGTCTCGTAAAAAGCTTCACTTGCGCACACACACACACACAGACACAAACACGTCGGTAAGTATCACTAAGGGAGTGTACCGTATCCTCGTTGAAATGCGCGCTCTGTATTCCTTCCACAGCTCTGCACGTCGCCCTAAACACCCGCATCTGTCATCAGAGCCCCTACCTGTGCCATCCGGTGGGTTTTATCCCTCAAACTGGACTCCTTTCCCACTTGTGGACAAAACCTAGACTGGAATGTGGCCTAACGCTAATGAAACAGTAGCCACCTGGTGTTTCCTTTTTCTGGGTCCTTCCCTCCCACCTGTCCATTTCAGGGAACCACGTTTGATTGCGACCTCTTTAGAGCTTGGGTGGGGTTTCCCTCCCTTGCCCCACTCCGGACCCCCGCAACCTGCCTCTGTGGGTGATGACAGCCACCTGGTGGCCATATGGGGGAATGGCAGGTGGATTCCCCCCAAAAGGGAAAGAGGGGAAGGCCTCTAGCGAGTGGTCTTCCTTCTGAGGGAACAGGGACAGGGAAGCCTGTGATAGCGTGGGAACTAGATGTCCTGCTTCTCGGTCTCACCTTGCCTCCCAGGACACAACATCCCATCCACACTCGTTCTTATGGACAGATGAATTCACTCAACAGTGGAGGACATTCCATCAAAATTTATTGAGCAGCCACTGTGTGCCCGACACTGGGAATACGGTGGTGACCAAGATGGACACGGGCTCTGCCCTCGTGAGCTTAGAGTCCAGCCGCCAGCCAGCCGATCACATCCGTAATCTTAAAATTTACACTGGATTAGTACTCTGAAATAAGTGTGATGCTAAGAAACAATCTAATAGAAAACACTGCTTTCTACACCGAGGAGTCAGAAGAGATCCCGAGGAAGAAGCATGTAGGGTCAGCTAGTTGGGGGATGGCAGGAAGCGTGTGGAGGCAGAGGGAACAGTGTGTGTGAGGACTCTGAGGCAGGGAGACACTCCGTGGGCTGCGAGACAGCCCGTGTGGCTGGGACACAGGGAACAGGAGAGGCATTGGCAGGGGAGGGGGCACCTGCTGGTTTGTGCAACATCTCTGGATGGACGGGACTTTGTTCCTGAAGCACCCAGGAGGCACTGAAGACTCTGAAGGAAGGAAAGTCAGATGCCTGGGTTTGGTTCTCAGCGCTCACTCAGGCTGCTGCGTGGGGGTCAGATGTGGAATTGGGAGGCTGGTGGGAACGTGTGCACGGCAGTCCGGCCAAGCGGTGATGACGGCCGAGAGGAAGAGGACGTGTCCCAGAGGCACTGCGGAGCTGGGGTCTATTGGAGAGTGACCAGGGTGCGAGGAGAGGAGGGCGTTTCCAGCAGGAGGCGCTGTGGTGGGAGACTCTGGGGGTGCGGGGGGTGGGGGGCAGTTTAGGCAGACCGGAGGCTGGTGCTGGAGCAGCAGCATAGCTTGGGTTCTCCAGTCGGTGTCACTGAGAGGACAAGATACACGTGAGACCACTGCAGAGCTGACTGCACATCAGAAAGCTTCTGTGAATTCACGGCCTCTTGTATCACATGGGCCCGAGTGGAAGCCCTCAGTCTCCCATGATTCAGAAAGTGCTGAGGCCGGGACAGGTCTCCGCCTCTGGCCATGCCTTTCCTGGCCAGCCTCTCCGAAAACGCCTGGGCAGCAGGCCCAGTGCTTCCTCTCCCCTGTCTGGGCTCTGGTGCCCCCCCCCACCTCCTGCCCCACTCTGGCCAGGCAGGCCCATGCACCTCTCTCCCTGATCCTTTCTGGCCCAAGACTGTTGAGAAATTCACCTCCTGTCATCCTCATTCCCCTCCCTCACCGGGGTTAAAGGAGACGAACCCGGCCACTCTCAGCCTAAGACAGGGAGAGCCTCTCTACACAGGAAGAACATCAGCTTCAGATTTAGACTTGAGTTTGCACCCTGGCCACTAACTAGTGTGCCTTCCTGCCACTAAATCTTGCCGAGCTTCAGGAGTTCCCTCTACTTGCTGGATGGGATGCTGCCTGGGGTCATCAATCGTTTACTAAAGCCAAATATGGAAAGAATCTTTTAAGCTTCAAAAAGAAATCTAAAAATCGTGTAAAATCGTGGCGATGGTGCCCATCTCTCGGAGTAGTTTTATTTAAAAGGGTGTACGAGGCACGTACCATAAGCTCCGGACTGAATTACCGACTACCCCTTCACTTCCTTTCTTCCCCTTGGGGTTTCAACTATCAAGTTCAGAAGGCAGATCAGCCAGTTCCGTATGGCCAGCGATGGACACTTCCCGTTCCTGTCTGTGGCAGTCCCATCCTCCTGCAGCCGTCCCCATTCCCATCACTGCCATGAAACTTCTCCCATCCCTCATCCCTGTGTAGGACTCCTCCCTTTCCGACCATCAGAAAGTTCTGCCTGAGCTCTGGCTGTCTCCCTAATCCAAAATACCTCATCTTCTTGTGTCACTCCTGAGAATGAATGAATGTGCTTCTAGCATTCTCCCTAACTTTGAGCTAATCACAGTGGGCCTGGGAAGTAGGACCTGTACGCTTCAGAGGGACACGGGAACCTCAGGCCAGTTCCCAGAGTGGAGTGGAGGTCTACGTCCCGCACTCCGCCCCCACCCCCTTCCAGGGCACAGAAACAGCCAAACTCAAAATACATCCTGAGTCTACATAAGCTTTCGGCTCCACTCCTACAGCTCTGTGAGGTCATCATTGAAGTAGAGCAGAATGGCAGGTGTGTAGAGGGCACTGTCCATGTTGAGATAGTCAAAATCTTCACCCTCATCCCGGATCCCGTTCTCTTCCAGGGTGAAATCCATGTTCAGTTTCTTGCCCTCGTACTTCCATGTATAGCTGGCTGCGTGTGCATTATAGGGGAGATAGCGGTGCAGGATCTCCCACATGGACTCCTCGGCCCCCACCTGCAGAACATGAAAGTGCCCCCACCCCCAGCCCCGATTCTGGATGAGACACACACAGGTGCATGTGGGCCCCAAGCCAAGGCCAGGAGCACAGATGGTAGTGCTGGGACCAGCATGTCTCCCTTGGCAGCCTCTCCCAAATGAAGCCAGAGCGCCAACATGCTTTGAATAGCCCCAAAGTGTCACCTGTCTCTGTGGCAGCCACTTCTAACAAACAGATGGCCCTGAAGGGTCAAAGTCACTGCCCCCTTTCCCCATCCCTTCCTCAGAGAACATTAATAAGAGTCCGACTGCAAACGCTACCCAAAACACAGCTCCCACTGGTTACGGAGAGCCGATGGCCTAAACATCTCCGAGGTTCGCTGGGACGCCCAGTTCCCGCCGACCTGCTGCCGCCGGGTTCTCACCTCCAGCGTGTGCTCCTGCGACGTGAGCGTGTTAATGATGCGGATGTTGCGGGTCTTGGCAGACAGCCGCCCCACCTCATAACGCACCCCCTGCCACCAGGGCTTCCCGAAATCATTGGCCCAGTCTGAACGCGGCAGCTGCGGCGGGACGTGCAGGAAGTGGCCCCGGGGGGTGCGGTATCTCAGGGTGCCGGTCAGCGGGTCGACGTGCTTGCGGATCTTTAAAGCAGCGATCGCGGGAGATCGATCTCCCCCGATCTCCGGCTCCAGCCAGCTCCCGCCTTTCCCCCCGCCCCGTCCCGCGCTCCCGCGGCCCGATTCCGCCCTCCCACCCCGGGCTCCGGCAGGACTCACGTCTCCGGTCTTCGCGTCGAACCAGTGGCTGATGTCCTGGCCCGCAACTTCAATGATGGGTTTTAGCAACAGGTCTCCTGGGAAGGAGCAGCCGCCGTCAGTGCCAGCCGCCCAAGGACCGGGCACCTGCCCCCCAACCCCCGACGCACACCCTGACCCTGGCGTAAGGCGCGGCCCTGACCCTTGTACTTGCGAGCCAGCGGCGTCAGGTCGTACACGGATCCCAGGTAGGACACCCACAGGTCTTCCGGCACGTTGTGCTGGGCCACCTCGGCTGGCGTGAAATAGCGACGCTGGAAAAACTCAAAGTCCGGCCCCTCCACGAGGCCTCGGCGCGGCATGGCTCTTGCACTACCGGCCACCCGCATCTCTGGTCGCTTCATCGCCCCTCAGCACGCACTCGCTCACTCACGGCATCTTTCCCCTGGCGAGCGCGTGGGCCCGCTGACATGGAAACCATTGTCCCTCTCCGGCCACCGTCTACTGAGATCGGACGTGGGCGCGGGGGGGGCGGGGGAGGGCGGGAGCTGTGCGCGCTCACGGGAAATGTAGTGTGAGTCTGGCTTTCAAGTAACTGAGTTCCCTCCTCCAGAGGTCCGGGGGAAAGCGCACGCCCCCCGTTTTCAGAGTGGTCTGGGCTGGAGCGGATATTTAGGACTGACTGGCGAGGCAGAAAAGCAAGGGAGGATGGGGTGGAGTGCGATGACAAGAGGAGGTCATTCCGCTCAATTCCAGGCCTCCTGAAGGAACTGTATGAACCTAAAGCGGTGAAACTTCTCGCGATATATTAAGACATCCGGCGCCATAGGGCGCAGTGAGCCCCGGCGCCGGAGGAGTGGGAGAAGCTCGCGAGATCTCTGCAGTTGCCCCGGAGACGACGACGAGGGGGAGGAGGAGAGGTGATCTCGTGAAAGAAAAGAGGTCGGGAGCACTCGCGAGATCTCAGACCAACGGACTCGAAAGGTTCTTAGGAAGTTGACGAGACCTGAAGAGGCCCCGGGGCAAATGGCCGGGGCTGGACCAACCATGCTGCTACGAGAGGAGAATGGCTGTTGCAGCCGGCGTCAAAGCAGCTCCAGCGCCGGGGTTAGCGCGGGCTCGGGTTCTGGGATCGAGGGGCAGCCTGGGGGCAAGATGGGGGGCCGGAGGGGGAACCACAGCTCCCGGCAGCCTCTGGGCTGGGTGGGAGCGCCCCGCGGGCTGTCGGGAGCTGTGGTTCCGCGGCGGGGCGGGTGGGGGGGGCGGTGCCATCTCAGCGCGTGTCCCGCCCCGCGCAGGACTCGGACGGGGAGCGCGAGGACTCGCCGGCCGCGCGGGCCCGCCAGCAGCTGGAGGCGCTGCTCAACAAGACGATGCGCATTCGCATGACAGATGGACGGACCCTGGTCGGCTGCTTCCTCTGCACCGACCGCGACTGCAATGTCATCCTGGGCTCGGCGCAGGAGTTCCTCAAGCCGTCGGGTCAGTGCCTGGGGGATGCACGCCCACCTGGTGCGGCGGCGCTCCCTCCTGGGAGGCGCTTCCCGCGCACGGTCTGGCTGCACCCCTGCTTTCTGGGGCTGGAAGGGGCGGGACCGACGCCGGCCTGCCTCCCTGACGCTTTGCCCCTTCTTTCCAGACTCCTTCTCTGCGGGGGAGCCCCGTGTACTGGGCCTGGCCATGGTACCCGGCCACCACATCGTTTCTATTGAAGTGCAGCGGGAGAGCCTGGTGGGGCCTCCCTATCTCTGACCGCGGCCGCGCGTGCTCGGCAGACCATTAAACCTGCAACGAAGTGCCTTGTGTCCGAATGTAGCTGGCGTGTCGGGAACACTGTCAGCGCGCCTTCCCCACCCTGGACGTGCAGGCCCCAGGGTGGGCCCCTCCATCTTCCCTCCCACGCCACTGCTCCAGGACTGCGCCTGGAGGGGGTGTCATCCTGCTCCGGAAGGCCCATTGTTTCCCTCCCCGGCCTGGCAACACCGAGTTCCTCCAAGCTGGGGTCAGAGAACGGGCTCGGGTCCCCAAGGGGAGCAAGGCAGGCGATAGAGGCCGGGCCCTCTCCACTCTATTGAGGGGGAGGTAACTTGAGAGTCAGGGACAGAGCTCTGGGGTCTGGCCAGGAAGAACAGGCCACCGCGATAAGGGAAGGCCCCCGGGAGGCTGAAGGATGCGCTCCGCAGCCCTGGCCCCATGTTGTTTCCTGCTTCTGGGCACAGGGCAGGAGTGACAGGAATTGTGCCATCCTCCTATTCACAGGATCCCAGGGACGCATTCAGCTCATTCTTTATTGATGTGCGGTCGCTCCCCCTCCAATCTCGCCCCCTCAGCCCGTAGATCCCAGAGGAGCTGCACCAGCAGAGGGACCACACGAGGTTCAGTTGTCCTGAGGGACGGGAGAGTGGGGGATGGGGGTGGGCAGGGTCCAGCCCAGATGTTCAGGATTCAGGGAGAAAAGTGGGTTTTCTGGGGTGTGGCGGATTTCCGCCAGCTTTGGGTCCACGAAGGCTCCGGTTTCCCTGAGGGGATGCTGGAACCCGGCTTAGGCACAGGTGGCAGCGCAGTAGGTCAGGAGACACCCCCCACCCCGTTTTTTTTCAAGTCCTTGGGCCAACTGGAAGTGGGGGCAGTCGTCAGGGTGGTTCTTGACTCGCGGGTCCTCAGACCCAGACCTTTCCTGATGTGGGAGCGGCCTGGGCCCCTGGTGAGGCCCGGGTCTGCCGCGGCTGCGGGGCGCGCCGGCGCCGGTAGAGGGCTCGGCTGTAGGGCACGAGGCAGTCGGCCAGGCGGAGGCGCAGGCAAAGGCGGCGGTAGCTGGCCAGGGCTAGCACGAGCAGCGGCACGAGGAGCAGGAATCCGGTGACCAGCAGGGCCGTGAAGCCCGGGTCCCGCAGGTGCGCGGTGCAAGGAGGTGCCTGGGAGCGCAGGAACTGTGGGAGGAGAGCAGGCGTCAGGCCCAAGCCGGCGGGACAGACCGGGAGGGGAGCTGCGGCCCGCGGACCCCACCGCCACCCGCGCACGCAGGGCCGAGCTCACCTGGGAGTGGCAGAGGAAGCCGAAGCCGAGCATAGTGACAGCGGGTAGCAGGATGGTCCCCAGCACCAGCGCCAGCAGGAGGAGGTTGAAGGCGGCCACCAGCAGATTCTGGGCCGTGACCAGCACAGCGCAGGCCCAGCAGTCCAGGGGGTCCCGAGGCTCTGGGCCGCCACCGGCAGCCGGTCGCTGTGCGCCGGGGACATCCGCCATGGCCTGCCTGGCTCCCGCCCGCCGGGGCCGCGGCCCTTATAGCCCTCTTTCCTGCCCCTCCCCCGGCCTAGCCTCTCCCCACCCCCCCTCATCCTGGAATGCAGCTCCAGGATTAGGCACCCCCCAGCCCGAGGAGCGGACCAGCGCTCTGGACATTCCACAGGCGCCTCGGGGAGGGGCTCGCCCCGCCGGGGTCTGCGCAGCCGGGCCCCGCAGCCCTCCCCCGCGTGCGCGCCCCGCGAGCTCCAGCACGTTATCAAAACCGGGTGTTTTTCTCTGATTTTATTTTTCATATTAATATTCTCACACAAAAATCACCGAAAATAGGGGTAGGGTTGGGAAGACCCCTCTGCCCCTGGGGCAGAGAGACAGTGCAGTGCGAGGGGGCGGGGCTGTAAACCCCCCAGCCCTCCGCAGCCCCAGCGTGGGAGAGAAAAACCACCGACCGAACAAAAATAAAGCCCCGGAGAAACTCATCCCGGGGTGTCCCTGCCCCAGTGAGGCCCTGGCCCTGGGCTGGTTCACGCTTAAAAAAAAAAGGGGGGGGGGGGGGGGGGGGGGGGGGTGAGGGGAAGGTCCGTGTTTTTAAAATTGGCCGGGGCTGGGAAGGACGGGGTTCCTTTCCTCATAGTTCTTTCTTTAAAACTTTAAATTTTTTTATTTATTTATTATTATTATTATTTTTTTTTTTTTTTACAAAATACCATTTCAGTTCCCACTTCTTCCCCTACAGTACAGGAGTCGCTCACCCTCAGGCGGGGCTGGGGTCGGGTCGGGAGTGGGGGCCTGGTCCGAGAAAGTGCAGGACGTCGGGGAGGGGAGCGGGTTTGAGCACCATGAGAGCCCGGCGGGCGGGCGGGCGGAGACGGACGGGCCGGGCCCGGACACACACTGGGGCGCAGGGAGAGCCCTGCGGCGGGCGGTCCCCGGAGGGGCGGGCGAGATGGCTTAGGGGAAGGGGGGGTGCGGGAGGTCGGGTTTTCCCAAAAATGAATAAATAGAGGTGAGTGGGACTGTTATAAATTAAAAACAAAAACAAAAAAAAAAACTAAAAAACAAAACAAAACCCCAGAAAATACAAATCATAACCAAGTGAATAAACAGAGACATGTACAGGGGTCACAGCTAGCATTGGAAGTAAAAAAGGAGGTCCTGGGGGAGGGGTAAAGCCCATAGAAACAATCTCATTAAACCTCGGCTGCCGTAACGTCTATGTACATGCACCGGCCGCGTGCGTCTGCGCCGGGCGGGCGGGCGGCTGGCAGGCGTGAGGGAACCCGTATGTGACCCCCGCCGCCACCGGAGCCTGGTCCTTGTGTCTGTTGCTAGAAAGGCCAAAGTCGGTGAGGGGAGGCGCTGGTGGGCGAGGGGCTGCCAGCCCCCTCCCCCGTCTCCCATTTTTTTTCCTTTTTTCCTCTTATTTGTTAAAAAAAAAAAAACTTTTTTCTTAATAAATTAAGTGAAGGGGAGCTGCCAATGGGGTGGAAGGGCTGGGCCCGACCCCCTTCCCGGCCAGAGGCGGGACCCAGGTCCAGCCCAGGCGTGTGCTGGTGGCCCCGCGGCGCCCTGCGGGCGGGCGGGGCGTCCGGCCTCATCGCGACGTGCTGGCGGGGGCCTGCGGGGAGAAAGCGGGCACTAGGCTCAGCGGCGGGCTGGGCGGTGGCGGGCGCGCCGCGGGGGTGGAGTGGTGCGGGGGAAGAGCCCGCCCGCCGACGCTGCCGCCACCACCGCAGGCCCAGGCCTCACCAGCGTGAAGGCGTCGTAGGCCTGCGCCAGCTCCTCAGTGCGGTACTGCTCCAGGACCACCACGCCCTGCAGGCCCGCGCTGCGCCGCCGAGCGCACGCCTCGCAGTGCACCAGGTACGTGTTGCGGCTGCCATTCTCGCTTGTCACGAACAGGATGTTGAACACCTCCACCTGAGACCCGGGGAGGGCGGGGGGCGTCAGCGGAGAGGGGGGGTAAGGGGTGGGGAGGGCAGTCCCGGGACGGACGGGGAGGGGGGCAATCCGGGGTCGAGCGCACTCACGTCGCACTCGTTGCAGTAGTAGGCGGGCTCGTCCTTGACGCGGCCCTGGTAGGCAATCTTCTTGCCGGCGCGCACCAGGCTCTCGCGCTGCACCTGGCAGTGCTTCATGGACTGCAGAAGGCAGAACCTGCACATGGTTGGGGCGAGGGCGTGGTGAGGGCCGGAGGGGGGCGGGAGGGGTGTCACAGTCCCTGACCTGGGGCATCTGTCACAGCTGACATTTCGTGTGGCTTTTGTCTACTTGGATCAGAGAAAAAGAAAGCGCCTGGGAGCGGGGGCCCATGGCCATCCCAGCGCGGGCACAGTGCGGGACATGGGGGCAAGGTGGGGCGCCGGGTGGCGCTGGACAGGAAGCACTAGACCGGGGCCTGCTCGGATGGAGACGGGCTGCTTCCCACACGGGGCCCTCACTTGATCATCTTGAACAAGTCCGGGTCGCTGATCTTGACGGTGCGAGCCACGTTCCAGGAAACGTGAATCATGGGCACGATGGATTTGACGTTCTTCACCTCGTTCCACTCGTATCGTTCCAGGGCCAGCTGGTACTGATAGGCTGCGGGCCACAGGGGGTACTGAGGATGCGCCGCCAGCCCAGACCGTGGCGCAGGGGGGCAGGGACAGGCCCCTTCCTCACAGCGGGCTGCGCTCCCGCCCCGCGCGCCCCCGCCCTCTCACCGGTGAGGGGCCCCACGTTCCAGGCGATGTTGTTGCACCAGCCAGTGGCCTGCACCCAGTGCACGGTGCCCGCATTAATCCACACGAGGTCTCCAGGGCGCTGCACGAAGCGGTACACGGGGATATTGGAAGCATAAAGGTCATCCAAGATCGGCCACCAGGAACCAGTCAGGTAGTCCACACCATGCCTGCAGGGTGGCCACAGGGTCAGAGGGGAAGGGAAGTCTGAGGACCCCGGGCCGGGCCTGCGGCGGGGCAGGGGGCGGGGAGGGACGGGAGGGAGGCAGGGCGGCACGCACCGGTCGCAGAAAGCGCTGATGGTCTCCCAGTAGTGCTCGTGCACCGCGAACCACTCGCAGTCGCCAGGGCCAATGTTGATGTTGACGGAGCAGAAGTTGTTGTTCTCCTGGTGGCCTGCAGGGGGCGACAGAGAACGGCGTGGCTGGCCAGGGTCGGGGCTGCGCTCCGCGCCCGGCCCACCCTCGCGCCCTCATTGGTTGGCGAAGGCCCCCCGGCAGCAGCCCCGCCCTCCGCCCCCCACCTTGCGCACGCGCATGCGCCTGCCCCCGCCAGGAGCGCACCTGGAGTGCGGCTGCCGGGGACCTTCATGTATAGCTGCACCGTGTTCATCCCCAGGATGGTGTGGCCCACGTGGCTCAGCATGTTGCCGGTGGACGTGACCCGCATGAAGGCGGGCAGCTTCAGCAGCTCCTGCAGCTGGGGCTTCCACCTGCGGGGGCGAAGGTGCCATGGAAGTGAGAGGCTACCCCCCCAACTCTGCCCACCGGGTGGCGCTCCAGCCCTCGCCCCACTGACCTCTTGGCATCAGACAGGTCGATGTTGGTGCCGAACTTGATGATGTGATGGTTCTTCGGGTCAGGCGCGCTGCTGCCAGGGCAAAGGGCACATGGGTGGGTGGAGAGGCACGAGAACCAAGGAGTGGGGAAGGGGAGGGCCCAACTGGACCTACCTGGGAGGGGTCCCCGTGGTGCTGTCCGGCTCCTCAGACTCCTCATCCTCGCTCTCCTTCTCCTCCTGCTTGGCCACAGAGGGGTGGGCGCAGGCCTGGGTCAGCACCCGCCCCCAGGTGCCCCCGCGGCAGCCCCCAGATCCTGACCCCCTGGGTCCAGCCAGGCATGCGCCCCTCACCTGCAGGGACTCCTGGAAGGATGAAGCCTGGTACTGTGCGTACTTGGCAATGGTGGTGTGGGAGCGGGAGCTCTCGCAAGGCCAGATCTGCCGCGTGCCTGTCAGATCCCAGTTCTCGTCCGAGGGCTGCTGCACCTGCGTGCGCACCTCCACCGTGTGCTCGCCGCTCGCCTCCACCAGCGTCTTGGTGGAGAAGAGGCCCAAGTCTGCAAGGGAGGACCGAGCAGGGCGTCGGGGCAGGGGCAGAGGGTAGGGAGCTCGGGCCTTCTTACTCCCTGAGCCCCTGACACAGGGTCAGCCCAGGAGGACAGGTGACGAGGCCGGCCCCACAGGCAGCTGGCGCGGTTGGCCCTCCCGAAACGTGGCTCTCATCTGGGTCACCCCCAACGCCACCTCCCACTGCTGCCCCGAGTCGGGGCCCCTCCAGCCGTGTCCTCGGGTGTGCATGGGGCCACAGGTGCACGCCACCTGGCACTCAAGAGGTGCTCAATGGGTGGAAGTTTCCTTATCACTGGATCCACGGAGATGGGGTGAAGTGAAAGCCTAGAAAGTGCTTCCAGGAGCTCAGCTGAGAGAAGGGAGGCTATGTGGGGAGAGAGGACGCTCCAGGTACACGGGAGATGTGATTTTTATGCTTCTACATGGTTTCCCTTCCTATGTCTGTACCTTTGTCTGAAATTCTGCACAATAAAGGACTGGAAGAGGGAAAGCCTCAAACCATGGGCTGGCCGAGGCCCTGTGTAATCCATGCCCTCACTCTCACTGCCAGGAAAACTGAAAGGGACTCCAGCTGGATCCTGAGATACATCCCTTTCCCTCTGCCCACTGCCGGGGACACACAGATGGGAGAAAAGCCTGAGACCGGCGGACCCATCACTCAGAGTACAAGCTACATAGGACTGAGGAGGGCTTGCGCTGGCCGCCAGCCAGGGATCTCCAGGTTCGGGGGCCCTCAGATGGCTCTGCCCCACACCCCCTGCCACACTCACTGAGCCGCAAGGAGCCCGCCAGGCCCCGGATCACGGTGATGGGGTTCCGAGGGTCTGTACAGAACTGCAGCAGCACCGGCGAGAAGGCATCCCGTTTGCTCTCCAGCTGCAGCAGGAGGAGACAGGGCAAGGGTGAGGCTCGGGGCCCACCCCCCACCCCTGCGGCCCCCAGCACAGCCG